TTTTTGGCGGGACCGGGGATTGAACTCAGGCTCTTGCGCTTCCCAGGGAAGCGCTTATTCCACTGAGCCATCTCCCTGGCCGTGTGTTTCTTTATATATTTGCTCCAGGGTGTCACTATGCAGCCCAGCGTGACCCTAGTGGCGGGCTCCTGTCCAGTCTGTCCCCGCAGTCTGTCCCCGGGCTGGCCGTAAGCACGCGGGGGCAGGCCGGCGGGGGGCGCCTTCCCACAGCTGCAGCGGGGGTCGGGGGGACTCGGGAGCCCCAGAAGGAGTCGGCTGCTTCGCGGGGTGCTCTCCTAAGTGCCGGCTCACAGCGTCTCGGTAGGCGGCTCAGGCTGGCCTGGGCTCACTTCGTACGCCACACGGAACTCACGGGATCCTCCTGCCTCAGCCTCCGAGGGCGGGATGGCAGGCGTGCGCCCGCACGGCTCGCGCTGTCTGCCTTGTGCTCTCCCTCGTGGCACCCTACACGAGGGGCTCCTTAACCCCACGACGGGCCGGTTCTGGCCTGGTGCCCGGATTTGGGCCCGCCTCACCGCGTGGATTCGCTCTGCAAAGCCCCCTAGAAAAGGCAGCGTGCTGGGCGACCCGCTCGGGTCCCCTCTGTCCCTCTCTGGGACAGGAACTTGCTTTCCCCCCTAAAACACATGGTGCTCTTCACCTCCGGGCTCACTAAAACGCATTCTTCGGTGTTAGACACCACCAACTCCTACAGCAGCCTGGCAGGCTGGGAGTTCCTTTGTCCTTTGTCGCCTCGGGTCTTCTAGCAGAGGGGTCTGATGCTTCTGCAGTAGTCCCAGCCCTCGGGAGGCTGAGGCAGGAGGACCTCCGGGAGCCCCAGGACAGCCTGGGCTCTGCAGGGAGACGCTACCCCGAAAAGAAAAAAATAGCAGCAAATGGTCCAAAGTAGGTACTCGGCTGAGTGGCACCCTTGGTAGGTGCCACTCCTTCCTGCCCCGCCGGCGGCAGGGAATCCTGTCACCCCGCCCAGCCCAGGGGACCTGCCTGCCCAGCCGCCAGCCGCCTGGTTAGCGCCAGGTGCAGGCCAAGCGCGCAGCCCCGAGGCGCCACCCAAGGCCTCTGCCCCGGTCCCTGAGGCCCTGCGGGGCACACAGAGCGCTTCGGGGGGACCTGGGGAGCCCCGGGACCGCGCCCCGCGCCTGCAGCCTGTCTCTCCTGACTCAGAATTAGGAACATCTCCGGGGATTTGAGGACTCGCCCCGCTAAACTTTTGTCTCACTTTGAGACACGGTCGGGGCTGGGAGACGGCTCAGTAGGGTAAGCG